GGATATGAGAGGACGGCTCTCGTATAGTTCATGTCATCGTTTGTTTGTGCCAACAGGACGATTAATAGTGAAACAAACGTTAAACACTGAGAAAGAAACGCTGGCTGACATGTAGGCAGATCCCACTGTGGTTTCTATTGTTTATGTAAGATTTAATCTGAAATTGTACAACTCAGGATGTCTTAAGCATGAGTTTATAAACCACTAAAACTGCTGCCTATTTCTTACGTTTACCTCTCCGATTGGTAAATGATTCTACAATTTAACTTTAAATTGTAGAAAGGAGAAAGTAGTTGGATAAAGTGCTCAGTGACGGCTGCCATGGAGTTCCACAGGGTTCAGTGCTTAGAATGCTTTGTTTTTTTTGTGTTTTTTTTGATTACACTAGATAAATTATTCCACAACATAAGATAAATTCACATTGTTATTCTGTTGATACTCAGATTTACCTCACAATTAAAACCAGATGTTTATGTAGAGCAAAATTTCACCTCCGTTTCTTTTCCCCGTCGTGTGACGTACCGTAGGGTTTGTTGTTGAAATGTGCAAATAAACTTCACTTATCAATTGATTGATCTGACTTAAAAGAGAAAATGTGTTGCCTCGTTTGACGTCAGTGGGAATTATTTCTTTGTTTTTTGTTTTTTTTTTAGCTTGTACACCGCTTTCTGTACTTATTGATGAAACTACATGGGTCACATTGGACTATAAGCATGTCTGGATTCTTAGTTTGTACTTTCGTTTTAGGTTTTGCCACCTTTTCAACAACTGTGCCATGGTGACAAAATGCTTCTCTTTTTTTTCGAGTAGGCTTCAAAGTTTTCGTTTTCACTGAACTTAGTCATGCAGTAAATTAGAACGTATACGTTCCCCGCGAGTCTCGCTCGTCAGACAAAAAGAACCTTTTAGAGAATAACAACCTTTATGAAACACACTTTCATTAGGCCCACGTTTGAATTTTTTAAAATGTCATATTTTATGAAAATCAATGTAATCTCAGAGGGTGACATGCGTAATTAATCTATATAATGCATCTTGGTGATAAACTTCCTAAAATAAATGGACTTCTAAATAATATTCTAACTTATTGAATGGGTTCTGCGCATAAAAGGGTTATTTTGAGCCATCCCTCAGGCATGAGGACCACTTTTCCTCAGTCTGCTGTCTTTACTGCTGCCGGCTGCCGCCTATGTGTGCATTCGCAGTTATTGCTACCATTAATTTTGTGACCCTCTCTTTGTTTTTCCTCCTCATATGAAGTACTCTCAACTCCCCAGCTGACAGAGAAAGATCGCTCCATTCCTGAGCGTGTTCTGTCATCTAGTTGTTCTCCCCCATTGTGCGTGATCAGAGCTGAATAGGAACCAAAGTGAATATTTGATGCAATTAAATAAACTAATTTCCCTTTTTCCATTTTTGTTTTTTTTGTTTTTTAGTATTTATTGTTTTGTAATTTGCTGAGTAAATTTACCAGACTGAATGTAACTCGGTTTAAATCTGGATTGAATAGCGATGGGGTTGGAATGAAATCACATTGACCGCTTTAGTTCTGTACCATCCTATGACTGATCACTGTAAACTGAATCAGTGAACTGAATCTGATGAAATGTGTCATGAAGCGAGAGACTGTTATAAGATGCATTTTCTACCAAAATGACACGTCGAACAAATAAAAAAACACACGAAATGTTAAACATTTATTCTGTTTTTGTTTTGTTTTTTCATCAGGCAGCATTCCAGGTATCCATTAGAAAGGTTCCATAAAGTCCCTCAATAGCGTCACGTCCCACAATATGAATGCTAACAAGCTCATTAGTGGGCTGCATTGTGACTGGAGTCTGATTTGGACCGTATGTAGCGGAGCGGTCAGAAAAACTGCCACATGTAACTTATTTTGTGCAACATGGATGGAAGCCGTATTCCATACAAATGAGCATCAGCTTGAACTACGATTAAATTAGCATGTTTTTGTTTTTTTTCCCCCTGCCCTTAAGTGACCTTAGCTGTTTGTATAACGTTTCACTTTTAAAAAAAAGAAGAAAAAAAAAGCTAATTAAAATGCGAAGCGTTTTGGACGGGTTAAGTTGTTAGTGCAGCTCGAGGCAAATGGATGGACGCAGTTTAAGCTTATTTTGAAATATTATGTTTATGATTCTCCCTCACTGGGAGCTATTAAATTCAACCACAATTACATGTTTGTTTGTATTTTTTCCCCTGGGTTAAGACAATATGTCCTATAAGCAGAGAGGATGATGAATCACTGGTGCCCACGTAAAGGTGTTTGGGTTCATCTGGTCAGTGCGGTTATGTAAGTCAGCCATTGTGCCGCAACATTTCTGTATAACATCAGATACGAAGTGTCTGACTTTAAAAACAAGAGCATATGAAACAGACAATTCAAACATATTCAGTAATGGTGTAAATGAACGAGACGTCTGTATGTCCAAGGCCTTCCTTCCAAAGTGGATTGTAAAAGCATCGGTTAACTCTTTAGTTAATCTTTTCTCATTTTGTCAGATTTTCACTGTAAATTAGATGTTTGTTTATTTTTTTCTTAATTCATTGTGATAGGATAGAAAAAATGCTTGAACAACTAAAATTTTGAAACTTGTGAATTGTGCTCTTGAGCCGACCGCTTTTGCCGTACGCTTCAACCGTCTGTCGCCGGAACCGAGTCGGACATGATTCGATCTGTCACTATTCGTTGAAGACCTCGAGCTCGGTCAGAAAAGCAGGCCTGACGTCCCACCGCGGACTCTCATTTTGATTTACACCTGTACTTTGACAGGCCCATTCAAACCAACGCATTTGATCTAAAGCGTTTTTTTCCGTTGTGTGTTTTAATGTCGCCGTACTGCTGCATCTCCTCCCTGGTCTCTCAGGTAATCCGCAGCCTCTCTCTTCTCGGATTCTCTCACATTTCTCCTTCCTGTCAATCAGGGTCGAGAAAAAAAAAAAACCCCTACCACAGCATGACGCTTCCACAGCCGTGTTTCACTGGGAAGATGCTTCATGCGTGTGCATTTCGTATATCATTTCTGCCTGCAGGCCAAAAATATTCTACGAACCCTTGCATAGGTTGTGGCAAACTGCAAATAGGACTACTTCAATAGTGGATTTATGCTGCTGCTCTTCCATGAACACCAGATTTACGATGGGAGGACAACATGAACAGATTCTTCCACCTGAGCACCAGAGCTCTGCAGCTCCCCGTTTGGCTGCTTCTCTAGTTAATCCTCTCTGAGAGAAGGCAGATTAGCTTGATTTTTTCTTTTCTTTTCACTGATCATCCGTCCTACATCATCCTGTCACCACACAGTGACAGCTTTAACAAACATGTAAAACAGTACAGTTTATAAAAGTCACACGCTGCAGCTTTAAGTGGATCTGTTGTTCCTGAAAACCCACTGAAAACCATCCAGCATGTCACTTCCTTCCCTCCATCCGCGCACTACTTTGCACCACTTTAAAATCAAATAAAACACATTTACGCTTATGCCTGAAACGTGATTTGTTGTTAGAGGGGGGAGGGGAAATAGGCATTTTTCTAAAAAAAAAAAAAAAAAAGACTGGTCACTTTTGGTTTTCCTGCGGGTTATTTAAAGGTCGCCGTTCAACTTGAGTTCCCTTGTCCTTGGGCTGACAGGAACGGGACTTTTCACACCAGTTCTGCTGCAGTTTTTTTTCCTTCTTTTTTCTTCTTTCCTTCTTGTTGCTGTACAGCCAGAAATACACTCAGAGTGTGTGTAGCGTCAGAGGGTGGATCAATTTTTTTTTTTACCAGGACGCTCCTTGATGACAGACTGAGGTGGGAAGGCTACGCTGTCCAAGGTGCTGAAATCATTCGACTGTTTTTTTTTTTTAGGCCGGAGCAGAGAAAAGCTGCAAAGGCCTATTGTAATCGTACCGTTTCTTCTTCTTTTTATTATGCTTCCGTCAAATGAATTAGCTTTTGGGGGCCTTTATCATATTCAAAAACTCACCAAATTTGGCAGAGTTGGTGTCAAGTCTGCATGAAAATTATGTATCTTAAGGTCATCGCAAAAATCGCAACAGGAACGGCTCAACAGCGCCACCTGGCAACTTTCAAAATGCGGTCAAACCTCCGACCAATCAGACAACACTTTGCACAGAGCTCTGTTGAAATAGTTTGAGCCACGTCTGGTGTCGAGTTCAGCAGACACATGCCTTTCTGCTGACAAAATGAAGCAGTTTTTGTCATGAAATTGTCTCAATAAGCAAGGCACACTCAACAATGAGAACCTTGACGTTCTGGCTCTGATGAACCGAAATAAACTCAAATATTTAATTTTGTCTAACAGAAATCAAGTAATTAAATCAAATTAAGTACTTTGACTCCCCCCCAGCCAGCATGCCTAGGTGGGCCCCATGTGGGGAAAAGGAGGGCAGACCCTAAATGGACAAACCCATGTGGGCCACCACCATATAGGGCCCAAGTAGGGCCCATGTGGGATGTGGCCCTACATGGGCAAACCTATGTGGGGCCATCGTGGAACCCGCGGACAAACCCATATGGGACCCATATGATCTGCCCTCCTTTTCCCCACATGGGGCCCACCTAGGGATGCTGGCAGGGCCTGGGTTATTCCATCAGCTATATCTCCTCTCTGCGTCAGTCGATCTCCACCAGATTTTTTGGCGCGTCGTCAGATCGCGCTGACGAACGCATCGGCGCACGTCGCCTGGTGGACGGCTGCGGGAACTGCGGTCGCCAGGAGGCCGGAGCGGCGCTGAGCTGCGAGGGCCGGTCGAGGCTGCTTGCAGCTTTAGTTTTGTTTTCTCTAGAAAGTGGCTTTTGTTCCTCCAGCCGCGAATACACACACTTTAAATTATCTGTAACAATGAATTTCACGCACAGACGAGGCAGCACAATTAAAGTTAACAAATGTTAACACCCCTTTATTTTCGGTTTTAATCAAGCTCAGAGATAAAGAGATGACGGAGAGAGAGAGAGAGAAGGGGGCGGGAGCCCATTCAAGCACGGATAATTAGAAGAGCGGGTCACTATTGGTGGAGAGCATCCGGTGGAGGCAGGAAAAAAAAAAAAGGAATCAAAAGCCGCATAACAATATCAGAGTCTGAGTGGAGCATCATCGGCGCTGACGTTCCAGTTTTATCCCCTCAGTGCCGCTTCCAGCAGCCGGGCTGTAAGCCGCTGTTCAGACAGACAGACAGGCAGACAGGCAGCAGCGGAGGAGCGGCGGCGGAGAGGCTCTCCTTGGTGATCTCAAGTGGGGACGCAGCAGCTTCCCTCCCCCCCTTTTCTTTTTTAACCTCTCAGCGGATTTTATTTTATTTTATTTTTTTGATCTCTCTCTGTCTCCCTCTTTTCAAGTCGTTGGAGCAAGTAGGGACTCTGCTGCGGAGCTCGAGTAAACGGTAGGTAGGTGTCTCTTGAATTGTGGGTAAAAAAAAAAAACGGAGAAGGAAGCGTGCACTTGAGGTACTAACACGGAGGGAGTTTTTTTTTTTTTTTCATTATTATTATTTATTTATTTTAAAAACATCGCGACCCTAGCTGACGTCTGATAGGTTTAATCCCTCGATGCCTCCCGGTTGGTGGGGAAACTGTCTGTGAGGAAACAAAACCACAAACAAAAACAAAAACAGGCGAGTTGTTCGCTTGACAGCGATAACTGCGTGATTGACGCGACCGAAGTGAGATGACGTTTCTATTATTAATATCATTGTTATTATAATTTGGATAAGAGTCAGAACTGAACTGTTTGACCTCCTTTGTATGCTAACTTGTGATCGCACGTAGTAATAATGTGTAGTTGCTGGAAATAATGGATGAATGAATGTGAAAGTTATTAACAAGACCAAACCTATGGTGATGCTGCTAAAAATCAAGTTGATGTTGAGACCTGCTAATGTTTATTAATCAGTTGATCTTTTCTTGTATTAGTATGAAAATGTAAATATATGTATGTATGGAAAGCGACATTAGGAAATAGTTATTTGTTTCAAAATTATTGGTAATGATACAATACCAACAGAGTCACAGGTTCTCTACCGCCCCTAAAAATGGACATTTGGATATTTGGTGCTTTATATATATATATATATATATATATATATATATATATATATATATATATATA